TTCGACGCTGACAAACGCGTTGAGAATTGACAAATTGAATACGGCAATCACTAGCTTACACTCTGGGACAACATTTCGGCGTAAATGCCGTTGAGCAAAAGCAACTCCTCGTGAGTGCCCATCTCCTTGATTTGCCCACGGTCAATCACGATGATGCGATCAGCGTTGCGGACAGTGCTGAGGCGATGAGCAATCATGATGATGGTTCGACCGCGTCGCACTTTCTCCATGGCAGCCAGAACCAGGCGTTCAGAGTACGAGTCAAGGGCGGAGGTTGATTCATCAAGTAGAAGGATTTGTGGCTGGCGAATAAGAGCGCGTGCTATCGCCACACGTTGCTTCTGTCCTCCCGAAATACTCGCTCCACCCTCACCTAACCAGGTTTGATAACCCTAGGAGAATGTTTGCGACATCGAAAACGCTCTACGTGAGTAATACAATTCAAGTAAACAAAACAGATCAAGAGGAGGGTGAGTTGCAAAGTTGAGCCCATTCTCCACTTCCCCATACAGTCCAAAATATGGGATTATACAAAATACCAGCACATCGGCTTGTCAAATCACTCTCGTTTCTTGCCATGCTGACTGCCCACAGGTTAATGCTGGAGCACACAACAATTTATTCGAGAAACAAAATGCACCATCAAATATCGAGAGTTTCACAACCATGCTGTGCTTACTGCTGCCATAGTTAGAGTCAGTACTAGCGTTTAAAGCAGCAATGCTCGCGTGGAGGTCTAACTCCCAACGGGTAGGTCTTAACTAAAGTGGGGTTTGAGGCATTTTATGATTGACAGTATGGTTGGTCATTGCTAAGGTCATTTCGATGGATGCGCTTGTTTTCGCTTACTCCTCGTGTCAACCTAAGAAGCACATGCTTTGCGGCATTAGTGAAAGTAACTTGCCTCAGGCAGGTGTTTGATGAATTCGTGGGCGTTGGCGAGTTTTGCAGCCTCTACTACTTCCTTTGTAGTTGCATTGGTAAGACCTGATTTGATGTTGTGCTCCACAGAACCAGAAAAAAGTACTGGTTCCTGTGATACTACACCAACATGTTTACGCAGCCACCCCAAGTCGAGGTTGCGAATGTCAATGCCGTCTAAATAGACCTACAATTGCAGAGGCAGAATTCGTGTCAATAAATTAGTTTAAAGTAACCCAGCTTACTTTCATTTTTCTCAAAAATTTACTGTAAATTGTTTTTTTGAATTTTTCTGGAGCTCATGATCCTAAACGTGCCTGCCTACCGCCTATCCCTTGCGCCGCATTCCCCTGTGTAACCTTAACCATCTCACCAGCTCCTGTGCAAATCAACTGATGCAGAATCTAGCTGACCACACATAATAGTACATCAATAGCACCGACTCCCAATTACCTTGTTTCATGTACTGTAAATACACACGCACAAACACTACCCACAGTCACTGTCTTAACGACCCAATAAATGGTTGTCTACGTTGATTTTGTTCGCCTAATTCTAGTCTGGATATTTCCTTCCTTATTGGACCACAACAACCTCAATGCATCAATTGCTTCAATGTGGGTTCCGAACCCACATTAAAGCCTCCACCGCATTTTTCGATTAATGCTTGACCCATATTGAAGATATTTCTGTGCACTGAAGCGTAATTGGGCAAGCAGAACATCGTAGACTTGCCGCTCCATCTACAGGATCGTAGTGCTCCTGAATTAGTTGAGCAATGGTACTCTTTCCAGAACCGCTGGGACCAACAATAGCCATGGTCTCCCCTGCCTTGATTTTAAGGTTGAAATTTGAGAGAATCTGTTCAAAAAAAGGAAAGATGACATCAAAATTAATCATCATTGACTTTGCGCATGGGAAATCAAGTAAAGTGGATTTACCTCAACATCTGGTCGTTGTGGATAATAGAATCGGACGTTCTTGAATTCGATATCCCCTTTAACAATCTCAGGTTTTAATCCGTCTCTCCTTATATCAATTGGTGGTTGCTGAAATTAGGCGAAGCGTGGGACAATGTTAATGTATCTTGTTTTTTTCTAAAATTTCGCTACCTTGTTTAACCTGAAGCGTAAGGCCGTCTAAAATGCACCCACAGAATCGTTGATAATAAGACGTACAATCCTACATGTCACGTATCAACAAATTTTTTCCATACAAAATCCCATTTGAAAACCAGTGGACACATTAACTAAGGCACCTCATTGTATGCCGTTTAATTTCACTCAACCACTAGGTATGAAGTCGCTTTAGTGGATTTATAAGCCAGCGACAAAGTGGCACTGAAGCAACCTTTGCCGGCTGTTTTAATTTTGACTGGAATGCCGCTACGTGGAAAAGGCTAAAGTTAAATCTACTCCAGTAACTTTTAGCAATTTAATGTACGCTTCCGCGGTGCACAGGGCACAGAGGCTAGCAAAGCTTCTAAAATATGTGCTAAAAGCACGTATCATAACTTACTCTATCAATTGTGGCAAAAATAGGACCCGCATTTCCAGCAGCCTTCAAGAAGAACTCCATCAGTGGCATAGCCCTTCCCACAGCGATAGATCCATACACCACGTTCATCATGACCTGTTGCAAAAAATTATATTTTGAGACACTGTTCACGAGAACGGTAGCGGAAAGTTTGTAAATTAATTCAAGCCACTCACTAGCACGATTGTTCCAGGTTGATATGAAGCACCCTTGTCAATGAGAAGCGTGCAGCCATAGTAAAACAGCACAGCCACCGTGCTAAAAATCGACACACTTATCATCCCGATACCTAAAAGAGTAACTTTCGGGATCAGAAGATGCAAAATCCAGCAATAAGAACTACAAGAAAATATTTCGACTCAAAAGAATCCCGAGAGATGACCGAGTGGACAGGTCTTGAAGTACTTACTACTGCACAATCAGTATAAATTATTCGGGCCAGTTCAAAACTTTAATGTCCGCCTTAGTTTTACAACGCTCTGTTTTTGGTTTTCATGGTACTTAACGGAATTTATCTAAACATTGGAATCTGTACACCTGCAATGGATTGCGAAACGCACTTGATCCAAGCAGAATGCCCTTTTTCACTCCTGCTCTTTGCGCCTTGTCCAGTTGGCGATCGTACCTCTCAGATGCGTTCTTTTCGCCACCAAAGGCAAACACTGTCTTCACTGAGGTGAAAATTTCGGCTGCAAAACTGCTCGCCTCACTATAGGCTTGGAGCTCGATCTTGACGTACAACTGAATGACCAAAGCCAGGCATGTGAATACAAGTGAAATTAGAGGTATCATTGCTACGGCCACAAGGGTCAATTTCCATCCCTGAACGAATGCCACAATTATGCCGGCAATGAAGACTGACATGTCGCGAAAGAAGTTGGCAAGATTTCCACCCATCCCTTCTTCAATTTGTTGAATATTGTTATTCATCCGTGATAAAATTGCTCCAACCGGATTCCGTTCATGCCATGCAATGTCTTGACGCAGTAAAGACTACGAGGAACAAAAATGTCTTCCAAGGATTATGAATGCTCCATCTGGAAGCATCCAGTAAGCACATCAAAGTTAAAATAATGTCTGTATGCAAGTTGTTTGTGGTTCGCCATGTGCGCAGGCAGAGGCCACCTTATGCTATTTGGATTTTTCTGTGGTGATAATATTTCATCGCCACAACTCAATGTTTGGCACCATAACAATTGTTCAGGAAACATAGTTATTGCTGCTAGCAATCACACAAATACATACTCCTATAAGTTAATCGTACTTTTGAAATCATGCACATTCAAGTTCTAGAGTTTTGTGCATTTTCCCTCTCAAGTGTCATGACATTACCCGCCATTGTGGACAAATAAGCTTTTCATTTCATCGTACGACAGTACTCGTGAATATCGATGTACCAACTCCCAAAATTTCTGTGAAATCAGGACTTTTTACCAACGCATCGTGTTTTCGTTCTTAAGAAAAGTTGAAACCAGGAGTAAAAATCGCCTCAAAATTATGGTAATGGTACTGCTTTTGCGTGCTTCAGCAGCATATGGCAGCACTTTAGAGCATAGTTTGGTGCAGTTAACGACAGCTGCCTTCTCTCCCTCCCCAAGAACCAATCTGGGTTTGTGCACTTTTCTGGATAGGTGGAAGCAATATGTAAGGAACGACATGGCGCTTCATTACGGGATACCATTAAAACAAAACGGGATAAATAATTTGATGCTACAAACAGCAATAGTTTAATATGTTCCATCGATATATCAAAAGGTGGACCAATATTCTTGTTCTCTATGTAAATCAAACAACTGATTATGGTAATGGCAATGATATAGTCGACGTAAACTTCGTTAAAAAAAGCATTCGTTTTATATCACAAATGAGTAAACAGCCACAATTGATAACAAACCCAATGCAACCATACTTGGAAATATAGCAGCCTTATTCGTTCAGCTTGCCTGTCCGCGACCCAGACAAGAAGGTAAGCTTGCAAGAATCCGAGAACAAGTCCGACCGCACCGAGTATGCTGAAGGTAACTGATTGCTTTTTTATAGCGTTAAGTAATGCTGTTTGCGGCCCAATAAAAGCATCAACAACCTCAGCAAAAAAAATCATGCTGACAGGAAATATCGACCCGCTGGCAGAACTGATTATCAACCCTAGTATCGTGGCTACCTTTTCTGATTTAGTTGCATAGCGGAACTAAAGAGTTCACGTTCAGGGGTAAATAGAGGTTTACCAATTGGTGGTAATATATTTTTGGTATCGGATCAATGCCCAATTCTGAGGTCTTGTCGGTGGACCGCGTCGGTGAAGAACGAAAGGTGTGCAAGGAAATTGTGTCCTGAAAATCATTTTCCTCCTCCTTGGACCCCTGCTTTTTTGACATTGTGAAAAGCAGTCGACTAGCTGGGGAAAAGTGAATGCTCCCAAGTTAGAGTCACGATTATGTTTGCCATGCCATATGTAAAAGAGCCAATAGTAGGGTGGTTGATCGTTAACATATTGGAATTCCTGATAAAGTCACTCAGCCATTGGCTAATTTTATACATCAACCTTGCTAAGTCGGCACTGGTTGCATCATATGGCTTAATCATGAAGACGAAATTATAGTAAACATGATATTCGAGTGAAGTACTAAAATCAAAGGATGTGATCCTTTAATTAGACATTCTACTTTAAATGTGTAGTATTGGTTTGGGACGCAGCTATATTCGACTGGGCCATGAACAGCGGTTCCTCTGTCTAGGCGTGTTTTACTAGCCTATGAAGAAGATCGGCAGTCAATCAGAAAGAACCTGAATTGTCTCAGATTCACTTTGTATGGTTTAGCCCAGTGGCATATCAGTTATGCCTGTCTTAATGTCTTCTAGGGCTCTTGTGTTCTGCAAACACAAATGTGAATTGGTGTAGGTGAGATATTCGAATGACAGACCAAAATCTAAGCAGCAAATCCCATAATTTGTTGTTTTCCTCTAATATGGACGCTATTGTCCTCAAATCTGGCCAAAATAAGTGAAGACCTTTGCTTGCACCCAATTGAAATGGGTCAAGTTCCACCACTGACGTGTACTGGCTGTTTGTGAATTTGGATCCCCACAAATACTCAAAGATTCGATTGCTGACATTCACAACGTAGTAAAATGGACTCCCATCCTGTGTGGTAAAGCAAAACTGTCTTTGCGATTGAATTCCCGTACTTAGTATAGGGTGTGCAGTTACTTCTTTACACCTATAAGTTAGATAAAACTGTTACATTGTATTCGCGCTCAGATACGGTTTGCGATTAGACACAGGGTTCGGATTTTCTTGACTGATAAGCGCATAGGTGCAGCCACTCTCAGTGCAGCATGCGGTTAGGTTCCCTTAGAGTGCCCGTCGTCCGTGAACTTTGTAATATTCAGTTTTACGCAGTCCCTTCTAGGCTCTAACAGATTCCTGAAAAGCTTAATTCGGTTCGTAACCAGAACGCCGAGTATAGTTTTCCTTGGAAGCCTTGTCGATTTACGCACAAATTAATGGTGTCCTTGTCTGGGACTGGCACAGCTCGAAGTTCTCTCCTTTATTATTTTTTTTAAAAAGCATATTCTACCTGGTAAATGTCTTTACGCATATCTTCTTTTTTTTACTAAGAACTATCTAGAAAACGCCGTAGGAATAGTTGATGAAACCATTCTCCTCTTCTTGTACGTTACCTCTAGATGAAGTAAAAAAGCAAAGCGGACAAATCCGCTTACGTGTGGATTATTGAGAGCTCACTTGGGTTACCATAATAGATTGTTATCCTCTTTCCTACACGGTTGTAACTTTGGTTGTCTAATGCGGTTCAAGAATGGGCCATGGCAATTTACCTTTCGAGGATAACCTGGTTTACCGCTCTATGATGGTGCTGGTGGCTCCATTGGGGCCATATTTGTTTGAGACAATGCTCTTTAGTCTGATGAACGCATCAGCCCCATCCCAAGGGCTCATGACTTACACCCTTTGTGATGGCACACAAATTGATGGCTTAGTGTGTCATTTCAATGCGATCAAACATTTTAAAGTAACCACTCAACATGTTGCACCCTGCCACAACACATTTAAGCCTCTCCACCTAACAAGGCCCACTTTGCATTCATTAGAGGTTTGGTTAAGTTACCAGGGCACATCATCTCAAACGAGGGCATCGAAAAGGATCAATAGAAATTATTTGTAGCTATCTTAGTAACATTTTATCTCAAGTTTGTTGGACGTTAAATTTAGGGCCATCTTTTCATTAGTTAACCGCAACAAGGTAAAGTTAAAGATGGACAAATGAATGCTAGGAGGCATTTGAGGAAATAAAGACTCGGCTAGTCAAGGTATCCATCCTCAAGTAACCTAGTTTTGACAATGAACGAAATCCGTTTAATTAATTCACTGATGTGTTTGTTGAAGATTCTAGAACGTGGTCTCAAGTCATACAAGGGCCATCGATGAGACTAAGAAGATCGGCGGTAACGGAGGCATCCGTTTTTAGATGGCTTGTTGTCCTGTTGTCATGTGTATTCACAATCGTGTATGAATAATGAAGGTGTTGACCAATGTGAATTAGCCGAACTTGTGAGAAAATAAATAACCATGAGAAATGAGTACCAGGGGTGCATGCAAAGGGGTAAAGGAAACAAAAAATTCCACATGACTAATGGAGACGTTTGGAAATTTGGGTGGTGTGTCGAAGTATGCGATGAAGTAAATCAACACTATTTACTCCATGTCCAGTAGGGTCAATGGAGCTGTTAAATCGCTAGTAGCAGGGCACTATTGAAATCAGAACAGAATTATAGCACGACGGCTGGGTAATGAGATTCGGGATGTGTTAATTTAAGACATATACTGGCAAAGTATGACTACGAAGTCGCGATTGAACGAGTTGGGTTTCTTACAATCAAATATTTATCGGTGACTTAAGATGATCAGCGTTACATTCTAAGTGAGAATGCTGCAAATAACGTAGCATGGCGATTTTCAACGTATTTCGTGAAATTAGACCCTCACATTTAGTGAACTCAGACTCAGCAGTGGGAGGTAAACCGGTTGAGATAGCGTATATTGCACTAAATTTGATAAATCAGAGAGTAGCGTAGTAGAGCTGTAATGTTAATAAAGTCATTCAACCACTATCAAATTGCATGCATCGAGCTTGCTAAACTGAGGATAGCTGCATCATGTCCTAAGTCACTCAAACTGCATTGACGTAAGCGAAATATTCGAAAAACAAAAAAATACGATTAGCTAATCACCTCGTGGGTTGTTTAACTATTTTCAGAACCTGGCAATTTTTTTATTTAGAAGAATCGAATCTTAGTCGGGTATCGTTTTGCTTCTTTTGACAGAAAATGTTCTCTTTCCATCCCGTCATTTTCCTAAATTTTTGGTCGAGGGTGGAACAGTAAGGGAGCGTCAAAATTAAACCGACAAAAACATATGGTTTTACTACTCCATAATGGTTTGTTTGACAGAAAACGTGGTCATGAAGCTCAGACTGGAAAACCGGGAATTTAAAAAGGTGTGTGTCTGTGGACTCACTGATATAATCTACCTAACATATACCCCTAAAAGTATGGCTTACAGTTTTTTTAAATAAACGCTCAAGTATAAGTCATTAGCCATAGTAACATTTGTGATAACTAAGAATTCGTTATAACTTACTTGTTACACAAATAAATTTGAAACTCACGCAGTACAAAAGTTAGTCAAACAGGTTAAAAATTTTGAATATTATTGCATATTTGCCTAACAACAGAGGTCTCTTTGTCTAGTTCATGAACCTAGACGTTAATCAATATCTTCCGGAAAATTCAAATGTGATTATTCAGTTTTCTAAACCAAAAAATTTCAAAAAAGTTTTCTGTGTCAGAATATTTATTGTGCTTTATGAACCTGCATGTTTTAAACAAAGTCTTGTGTAAGCAAAGATAAGGTCTTTATCTAATTTTATATCTTGCAATTTTGATCCATTTACTGACATTACTTCCACTGTCTACTTTTTAATTGTCACCGTTAATAGACCTCAGTTACAATGTAGTGTAGCGACTTTGTGAGCACCACCTTACATCCCTGCTAGTCGATAGTCAGTAAAGGCCTCAGAAGGAAGGCAAGACCTATGACAGCGAATATGCCAATTTATTTACACTGGACCAACGAAGTCTTTTATGGCACAGCACGTGAGTGCATCTCGAACGTCAACTGTAATCGACAATCGATGACATTCGATCAATTCATGAATAAGCTTCAATCACACAGGTTTGATGAAAGTTCACGGCAGTAATGCTCGCCAGCGAATTCTGCAGAATTTTTGGAAGTTATTGAATAATTTTTCGAGTTGTATATTTACTGAGTATCGCTGCATAATACCAACGCAAATGAAATATCCGCTTCTAAAATTCGGTATATGATGTGTTAACATTGCAACCACTAAAGAAATCGTGGTCGGATTTTATAGAATGATTTGCCAATCAAAAATTTGCGATATTGCTTACAATATTTTTTTGATAATTTGTCATGTTATTTCTAGAGAAAAGCTTAAACCCAACTGTCTTTTAACGTGGAACAACACTTTGGTCCTTTTCGTTGGTTCTTATATAGAATGTTGGTGTCTGGAGTGAATTGGGGATTTAAATCCACCAAGGACTTAGTATGAAGATTGGTATAAAAATTGATTTACTAGCGCACGACAAGTAAGAACTATGTGTCAGTTGCTGTTCATCTGAGTCGCACATACTTTCTGCGCCATCCTTTAATTTGTGCTACTTTTCCATCCATGTATCTGGTTGGCTGCTGATTCCACTAGAAGATGACTAACACGTCCACCGACGGAAAATTGGATGAACTTGGCACGTTGTAATATGGCTGCGCCTCGTGCAGACACTACTGTAGAAAACCCGAGCCTTAATAGGAAAAAAGTTGATACAGCAGAACAGGCTTATTGACAAATCACAAACCAAAATCGCACGTCAGGAGCAGTCCGTTTGAGTCCACCACGCTGGCTACGTCGCTCTTTATATACTACTCCTCATTCGTGTCTCTGGTTGACTGCATATCTTCATCGCATGCCATTGGATCGCAGAGTGACAGAGGATTATCTGAGAACAGCGTGATCCAAAATGTCTGCGCCCTTATACGTCGCCACTGGAGAATACACCGGTACAACAGAACAGGCATTACTGACCAATCACAAG